CTCTTTCTTGGGCAATCTATCTCAAGGATAGTGATTATTCTTTATATCTGTGATTCCTGCATATCTTAGGTTTCTCCTTACATCTCACTAGCCAATCCTCCATTATTCCAATCCTATTATCATTAAAAATTCCTTATATTGAACTTTCCATTTTAAGAATTACTATATGATTTCTTTCTCTTTGTTGGACTCTGAAACACACATGGACTAACAACTGTGTAGATGGGCTGAAGGAAGTGGGGTGAAGCTTCAGGCAGGGAGCCTGGATAAGAGAATATGGCAGCACTTTTGGCAACAACTCTTGAGAGTTTCATTGCCTTGGGAAGTAGCTGTGATAGAAAAGGGAAAGGGGAGACAGGTATTTAGGAGATAGGATCTACAGCACTTGGTAACCACTGGGGGAGGAGGATAGGAAGAGAGAAGAGCCTGGTGTGACTACCAGTTTTCAAGTTTGGATGACTGGGTGGGTGCATGGTGGTAGTACCATTGTAGAAATGAACACCGAAGGAGAGTCAGGTTGAATTTTCCTCCCAAGTTCCCATTTACACTCAGGAGATCAACACACTTTTGAGTCACAGACTCAGAATCATAGACTGGNGTTCACATCAGATAAAAGAAATAGGGGAAAGGTCCATTCTATCTTAACATCATATGATTCCAACATTTTGTAAAGTCTCTTTCTATTCTCAAAGCTCTTGGTACAGTAGGTCTTCTTCAATTACGTATTCCAGGGCTTACCCCACACCAACTCTTACAATTCAATACATTTCCTCTTAAGTGAAACCTACATGACTCCCAATGTAGACTGGCGGGCCAACACATACTTGCTGAAGAATATAGGTCTTATCAAATATAGACTATAAGCTTGTCTCTAAGATTTCTCACTTGGTTTTATTGGGGTGGGCTAAACAGGGCTGCAGTTATATAAACAAAAGACTCCAGTTACATGATGAAAGGCTCCAGGCACCAGATGATCAGCTTTTGAAATCAAGGACCAGGCAACTGTACATCCTTGTTTGGGTTGAAATAGAAGGTTTTGGCCATGTGGTTTCTCTTACTTGGAATGTACTCTCCCCCTTTTCACAGGTTAATTCTTCTTCAGAGCTCAGCTGAACCTCCCCTGA